CTATAACTCAAAGCTATCTTGCATTATAAGTGAAGTAGACACTGAATATTTATCTATTAGGTCTTGGTACTTTCCGATGAAATTTTTTGAAAAAAGGCCGAGACCTACTTTGACAAAACTCATTATTTTTTTTGCTCAGACACCGATGACGCTCTACAAAGTATGAAAAACAGCTGCTGTCGGGTGAAGTTGATATATTGCTCCTGAGGTGAGGAAAAGTTGTAATTGCAAAATTAAAAATCGTCTCGTTTGATATAGATTTTGATGCTAATATGACAGATGTTGTGAAATTCGAGGTATATGTCTAGAAATAATGCAGAAAAAGCTGTCTCTGTGGTTTCTTTAATCTCTAGTTGAGCCACCCCAGGGGTCTCGTGGTAGAGTGTTCGCCTCGAGTGCCAGAGGTTGTGTGTTCGAACCCCAGCCGGGTCAAACCACAGACATTGAAATTAGTATTTGCTGCTTCACCGCTAAGAACGCGGCATTAAGCGGAGACTGGTCGCCTCGGAGCGGTAGGTCTTTTCACCGCCGAACACCACCACACACCATCAAACACCTACGAACACCGCAAAACACCCCAAAAACTATCTCAAACTATGGGAAAATCTTATCTATTTCACATATTATAGTAAAACGTTTAACAAATAAAAAGGAAGCGAGACCAATTATTTACAACCAAAAGAGTGGAAGAGTCTTCTACACTGCAAAACACCGCCGAACACTCATAATTATACCTCTTTGTCAATTGTTGTTATTTATTTTACCTTTTTGTTGTTATTAAGTAAAAAGTTTAACAAATGAAAGGAAAGGCGACGCGTTTCAACATCGTAAAGAATAGGAGAGTCACCGACCACACTGAATTAAAACACTGCCAAACACAAAAAATATTTTTTTTATATTTTTCTTTTTTATATTTATTTAATCTATTTGTTATAATTTAGTCAAGAGTTTCAACAAGTGTTATAGAAGGTTTGGTAGGTTAAATAATGAAGTAATCAGATAACAAATAAAAGGAAACAGGAACAAATATTTCATATTTAAATTGAAAAAATAAAAGAGTCGCCGAACACTTCAAACACCGTCGAACTTCCAGAAAAATATTTGTTCTTATCATTTTTGATAATGAAGTAAACACTTATACAAAAAATAAGACAAACGCTTCAATCTAAATAGATCGATGAAACAGAATAATAATTATGAATATATTTGTGTTTGAATCATTTTGAAAGAGAAGTAAGGGAATTTTAATCAATTTCATTTGTTTTCTCTAGCAATATTTGATATGTTCATAATTAGAACAATTAAGCATTACAAACTTGTAATCAGATATCTTCTTATAATGAAAAGAGCAGATGGAAACAAAAGAAACAGAAATGTAAAAAAAGTAACAGATAGCCAGTTAGTTGTGTTAACAATGTCTCAAAAAATTTCATAAATAGCCAGTTTGTTTTGCTAACGATGTCTCAACCGACTATAAAACAATTGAAAAGTGAAACCATAAAGTATTGGAATCACAGATATTTCCTGTAAAAATTATTAGACAACATTTTATTTCCGATGAAAATAATTAGACAATATTTATTTCAAATGATGTTATTGGTCAAGTTTACGATAAGTTCTAAAATCTGAAGATATTTTAAAGCAGAGGCTTTAAAGAGCCTGTGTCGTTCACCTTGGTCTATGTGCATATTAAATAAAGGACACTTTCCAACACTGTAGACGAAAATAGAATTCATGACAAAAATATCTGTTTTGTTAATCTTGTATTGCTGATCATTTAGTTTCTTTAGTTTCTCTCTCTCTTCTTTAGTGTTTGTTCAAAACAAAAAAAAGAGGATAAAAAGAAAATCATATAACGGTAATCACTCCTATAAGGAGTGACAGTCTACAAACTAAATCGGCAAAATTTGACTTGTTAGTGATCTTGCAATTGCCTTGCTGATCATTTTTGAGATTTAAAGTGTCTATTTATCTTTTATAATTTTTATCATATCAGGCAAAGCACAACAAGAAATTGGTAAAAATCATCATTAAAGGGCAATAACTCCAATAAGGAGTCGTCGGACGATTTCCTCAATTTGTCTTAATTGTACATCTTGTCATGCAAAACATTTTTGCTTATTTAAGTTTCTATCTATCTATATTAATTTTTAAGATATAAGGCAAAAACGCAAAAAATTGTTAAAAAAATCTTCAAAGGGCAATGACTCTGATAAGGAGTCGACTGACGATTTCGACTATGCAGACTTAATTGTAGAACTCCTACAAGAAGTCGTCTGACAGTATTGACGTATACGAACAATTAGTAGAGCTCAACATTTTGAACATGTTTGCTCTTATCAGACTTTCTCTATTTATAGCGGTTTTCAAAATAATAGACAAACCTTGCATTCTACCGCTATATTCTATTTTTAGCTATGTCAGCCATCTTGGTTAGCAGGCGGAGCATTCGGACACACTTTTTTTAAACTGGATACCCCAATGATGACTGTGGCCAAGTTTGGTTAAATGAGGAGAAGATTTTTGTAAATGTTAACGGACGACGACGAACCTTTGGGCCAGGTGAGCTAATACGTTATTTATTTACAGAACAAGAAATTTATAGAAAAATTCTCAATAAAATATCTAAACGTACCTAAAAAGTTCCGTTTTTTGGCCTTGCGCGGACTGCACACAGAATTGTCCCAAGAATTTAGTACAGTGTGACTACTGTAACTCATGGTACCATTATGACTGTCAGCAATTATAACCACCTGATATTAATCACCTTGGACCCAATTATAAATGTTTGGATTGTAAATTGAAAGAACATAATCAATATACCTGTATGTGAAATTTTATAATCTATTTTTTTTTATCTTCTTGTTTTTTACAAGAGTCTTAATGAACTCCCACTCAACTGAAAATAAGAAAAGGTCGACCAGAAATGATGATCAGTTCGTTCCTACGGGAATGCCGACAACCTGCTGGAAAATTTTACCTCCAAATTCAACAAATATGTTTTCAATGAAAAACTCCAGCATACTGATTACTTTCTTCTCAGTAGCATATTCTATTTTCGGGCTCATTTTTTAACAAGATATGTATAATGATATCCAAGAACAATAAATTTCAAGCGTATGGTGCCATTTTTATAGAGAAAAGCATTGTGCATCATTTCTGTAAGACGGGTTTCTATATTTACATTTGTTTGTTGGCGTAAAGGTTGGAAAAATCAAAGTTTTAATAGAATTTATCTCAGAAAATGACTTTGTTTGAGAAGGATGTTGCATACATAAACGAGATGATTAACCATTTCTCCAGGATTTCGGCATAGAGGTAACATAATTGAGAAATTTCTGTTTCTTGGTGTTTAGGACTACTAGTAACTGTAACCTTTCAAACAACAGCAATCATCAAAATTATTCTAGTATATATAAATATGTTGCATTTACACATATTAGAAACACAAGGACAATCTTCTTTTGAATTACATCAACACTCTCTTTGTCGCTCTTTTCAATAAAAATACTCTCATTAATTTGCTTCATACGTTGTCATCTCATGATTATAATATGTGACTATACCACATGATTTTTCTCATTATTGAAGGCCATGTATCAGTGACATTTGACTCTAATGGACAGTTGTGTCATTGGCACTTACAACACACCTAATTTTTATATATAAAAACAACAATAAACTCTACAGAATAGAAGTCAATCAGTCCACATCTAAGCACTGAAATTAATATTGAAAAAGCATCAACATGAACCAAAAAGGGTAAATTATGATGACCCATGCAGAACAGAAGTTCAGAGTCCAAAGTTAAAACTTAAGGTTTCCATTTGGTTAGTCGGTTAATGAGACTCGTTAAACTTTCTACGTTAAGGTCCTAAAAGAATAAAGAATAATACTTTATACATTTGTGGCGTCCGAAGCGCTTTTCCTGGTATGGCTTTCCTTAAGAACGCTCATAAACAAGTAAATTGAGAGCCAATGATTTATAACTATGTGAACCCGTGAGAAAGTCGCTTACATATCAATTGCACATAGGAGTTTATCGCACCTAGGGTAAATTAGTGACGATGTGGTTGGGCTAACGTCGTCACATGGTGACCTCTTATGGGTCCGTAAGGGATCAGTAGATTTCATAAGAGGCACTTTGGCTTCACGTCTCCTACTGTTGTTATTGTATTGTATTGTTTAATTTTACAAAAGTTGGCAGAAAAAGTCCTCTCTGTGATATATTCGTTATAGGGTTCGCTAATCTATTGTGGATTAATAAAAACCTGAAACAAAATAATTTTCAATATGATCATACTCTTTTTCTAATGCAATAGGCAGTAGTGTATGATCAGTTATATTGTGCACAACTTTGATCATGAGAAGTTTACCGGTATTCAAAACTCATCAATCTGTTCTGAACATACACATTAAAGGTGTAATACCACCATTGATTTCCCCTATTAGTCTTTGTTAAATTTGCACTTTTCAAAATATGGTGCAGAATTTATCTTTGTTTCAAATAAAGAAATACTTGGCATGAGTCGAGTGTTATCCTGTTAGGTACTTTAGACAAAATTTCACATAACATTTCATTGCATATAAGGAAATAACCATCATTGGAAGTTAGCCAATCAAATTTTCACCCCTTTTTTCCTGTGTACAAGCTTTAGTAACCATGTAACCTCAAGTTTCCAAAATACTCTATAGAAACATCAAATAGAAAAATAATAGTGCTTTGAAACACCAAAGATATGTGTATGACTCAGAAATTTTTTACTGCAATGAGATGTAGATTAATTTCCTTCAACTGTCAAATTCAAGGGAAACAAAACAAAACAAAACTTTCAGATTTATGAGATGGCAGTTCCATAGAATAATTTACGAAAATAAGAAAAATAGGTCGTCGTATTCGTTTTATGTTACATAAAACAAATAGGTTAGAGCGCAAAACATTATTTGATGAAATTGAACCATATCGGGTATATTCCTTAATAAAGCTTTCAAACATTGTGTAGTATTAACACATTTATTAGCATAAAGAATAAAGCACTACTAAATTATCTCATTGTTATTATCAAAAACTGTATTGGTAACTACTGATACATAACAAAACATTACACTATCCGAGAACAGTGTTAACAAATATTTGATGATTAAAATTTCAGCTTCAAAAATAAGACTTTTTACTACATTTACTTTACGAATGGGTTGCAAAAAGGTAAGACGACACTCATAGTTCAGTGCAATAAACAGTAAAAAAGCAGACAAAGACCAGTGTAAAATAAAACTACACAAAAGCCTTTCTAGAGATCGGTCAAATCGAAGTTCACCAAAAGCCGAATGAGAACTCACATGTTCCAGAAGAACGTACAAGTATAATTGCAAATATACCGTCAGATAGTATGTATGAATTTCCATTTGTTTTAACATTGTGTATACACTGTAATCAAGGCAAGCGGCTCTTATTGACGATTTTCCATGCAATGGTGTAATCATTTCGTTATATACACTGGCCACTTGAGATTTAAAGAGATGGAAAATGAAATAAAACTATTTGTACAAAATCAGAAAGAAAATGGTAAACAGAGGTAATAATAAAATAAGGAAATAAACTGTCAACAGATGTAATAGTAAGATAAAACACCAGAGGAAGGAAATGGGAAAACTGGAGTAAAATTGTTTTGTTCTGATCCTTCAATACAAATTCTGTGTATTTCACTAAGAACTGTATAATATTACTTATCATATGCCGATCAACAGAAAGATCTGATTATGTTTTAGGTGGTAAAACCAATAAACACAATTCCATAATCTTTACTCTTGAAAATATTTAAGAGTTATCTAAGCAAGCTATTCTTTATCAAAAAACCTAACATTATCTGAGATATCAAATGCCATTTTAGTTAATAATTTGTCATCAGTGATGAGCAAATGCTCGCTTATCCGAACTCTACAGATAACATTGAAAAATGGTCAAGAAACTTGTAAATAATGAAGATCAAAACTAAGAGGCATTTTTGTGTAAATGCATTGATTGTGTTTTGATTGTTGCTCTTTCAATATTGAAATATTCGTCTTTCTTATGAGTGCAAATTTATTTCAAGCAATTGTCAAATAATTTAACCAATGTGAAAGGACTACATAAACCTTTGGTTGTTGCAGTCGTTTGCCTTGGGTGGGTTTGCTAGCCTTGTCTCAAGCTACAATCAGATGAGATTTGTAAAACCTTAAAATTCCTTGGTGTTATAACACAGAAACTACCGGAGAAGAGACATAACTTGTACGTTAATTATACTCATCGTCAGTATCAAACGTGGACTGCATTTGTGATAGACGATGTAATATGGTTCAACTGGGGTTATCTCTCGTTTAGCGGAAAAAAAACACTCTTCATTACAATTGGTCAGATATCTTAAAAAAGAATAAGTTATGTCGTTTTTTAAGTCGTCTCTTTATGCTTTGTCAAATGATAAATTAGTATTTCAAATCATAGATTTTCGTAATTAGTAACTGGTTCGTCTTCACATTATCTGTATAACTATATAACTTTATCCGTTCCATTCCTTTACACGTGATTACTGAACAATCATGGATATAATTAAAACAAAATCTAACACCAAGATCACGGTATATGCCGGATTTCCTCGTAAAATTTCGTAAAAGGCATTGAATATGTAGTTTATCGACTGAATGACCCCATATGCAAATGCATATAATTTGTCATACAATTGGGTTGCCCATCATTTTTAATTCTTAACATATGCTGTTTTATAATAACTTCTAATATGGTACGGATTCTGCAATACAACAACCCAAATCAATGGTTATTGGCAAAGAGCCATTGATTAATTATATCATAGTTCATCGCCATCCACCGTATATTGCTTTTTGTTTTCTCTATTGCCTGGTAGAATGCTCTGGTCCCTGTCCCAAGATTTGGATGCACCATAACAAAGTAATGCATCTGAAAGAAACAATTTGTTTCTGTGTTAATGCATTTGTTTGTACATTTTGAATTATTCATACAATACAAATCGTTGAATTAAAGAAGTGAATAACAATAATGCAAGATTCTTGTTTCCTTTTTTAAAATCTACCTTTAACCAAACTATTTAAACTTTCATAATAAGCTATATGGTGTTGTCTTCACATAATATTTGTTAACAAATCCGTTGCAACATTGTTCTTCTTCGTTTCGTCTATTTAACACGTAAGGCATTACAGACTTAAAAATACAGAAATTATGACCTTTCCATTCATCATCATCAAGCTGACGTATTTCCAAAAAAATATGTGACAGTAACACACATGAATTCGCCTAGGTTTAATGTTGGTATTCGTGTGATTAACCTTTGGTTGTCTATGTAGTTTTTGTAGACTTGTTCGTCTTTTCGTTAATTTTGGCGGTTTTTTTTGCCATGGCATTGTCAGATTTTCTTCAACTTATGAGTTTTGAATGTCCCCTTGTTATCTTCCAACTCCACGTTACTGCACAATAACCGATTAATTCTATATCATCATCTCTTTCAACCAAAGCAATTATATCAAGACTAATAAGTAATTAAAAAATATAGTTAAAAGCTAAAACATAACGACACTTGGATGCTCGAAACATGCAACATTCAACATCAACATGACTTTATCGTACATGCACACTACAAAATAATTTGTATTTGTAAAATTCACGAACTGAATTTCCATATTGAAAATGATGAAAAGTAGATATTTAAATTTACATGTAATTGTTCTGTATCTTATAGAATACGATATGCTTACCAATATAAAACTAAAGATGCGTTATGTCATGTATGTGGAATCGTCCATCTGCTTTCTCGATTAAAAAAAAACTTGAATCATACGAAATATGTCGCGATTAATAGGTCTTGCCTATTAATTGTTGCCGAGTTACGAATGAAAAGATATATGGTGTCACATTTAAAGTCATCGTGATTAGCTTTATAACTTAACAGATGGTTTACAGTATAGATTTTTTTTTCAATATAAGAAGTACAATGCATAATTTAGAGAAAATCAAAAAAGGATTGTCACCATTCGAACAGTTTGAGTACAAATAACTAAAGAAAAAATGAAAACACAACGTTATACTATCTAAAAGTAATAGAAGAGTAGGAGCTTTTGCCCATATTTCTACATCCTTTAAACAATTTACTTTTAATGTTAAAAATATTTTTGTAATCAGTTATTGTTATGTTTGAGTTTTTATCATTGACAGAGGTTGCTCTGGACAAATACGGATATCCCTGTTTATGTGATATCTGTTTACTTAATGCAAGTTGAAATGAGTCAAATTAGTCTAAATATTTCGATATCATACATTTGACAAATCGTTTGCAAAGATTGGAACATTTGTTTGTAAAACTGGGTTGGATTACACTTACAAGAATACAAAATTAATTTGAGTCAATCATATACATTTCATATCAAGTTATTCAAATGAAAAGGCTTCACTAGTCAAACTGAATGTATTCTCTTCATGACGAAAGATTGCTTTGTACCAGGAATGGGAAATACATTTGCAATCAATTATGTGTAGTTAAAGTAACCAAAACATAGTAGGGACCTACAAATGTGAAGAGAAGGCCGTTAGCGTAGACGTGGTTATTATAGTTTTGACTACTAGTTGCCTCTCCGGTAATGCAAATCATTGAAGGTAGAAGGGTATATAGAATCATTCCAAAACTTCCGTTTATCTATTACGTCAATACCACTACCATGGGTATGGTTTCCGGGTATTTGAAGTATACTTCTAAATTAGAAATATTCGTATTGTTACGTTTTTCATTATTCCAAATGTAATATACCAATACGAAGTTAGGTAACCGTACAGGCAGTTAATGACTTATTATTGTAGGTTTATATTTTTAATGGCTTTAACAGTTTAAAGTTTTTTAAATTTTCAATATAGAAGCTAATGAACATGCTATTTTGAGCCAACTGAAAACAACAAACTAATAAAAGCAACATAAAAACTTAAAGCACAACATATACAAAACAAATATAACAACACTATATTACCTGTTTAATATCATATAAAGTGTTGAAACTGGAAGTTATTCCTCTGAATAATTTCTCAAATTTCAAAACACCTTGACTGAAACTATAAGTTGTACAAATTGTTGAACATCAATTTGAATTTTGTTATTACTTTCTATGTTTTGTTTTTGATATTTTTGTTTAATACACAAAGTCCTATGGGAAATGCCTTGAGATATGTAATGTGTACCCGATGATGTTATGCACGTCTTTTCAAAAAGAAATGGCTTTATACTAGGTTGAAATATTATTAATGAATTAATTAACTATCATTAACGCTTATTATTTGTAAATAGGAAACTGTTCTTAAATGTTAATTGCATATGATGAAATAAAAAAATGACTATTAATATTGTTAAAGTACAGTAATAGCTGTTGTCCAAATTGAATGCCTCTAAGATTTCATTTCATTTAAGATATCATTTTGATATATTTCAACCAAAACCAATATGACTATAGCAGTTTACTCCTACACAAAATCTACCTGTTCATCCCGCGAATCTCAGAAGGGAGGAAACTTATTCACATAACATAATTTTCTGACGATGAAATGTGTTGTATACTATCTTAACTGTGAACGGCATATAGAATGGTATAGCCACGATATTTGAATAATTCGTACAAGTCAAGATAGATATAATGCACAGGGTTAGATGTTTATTATTTTGTACTTACTCATTAAAAATAAAATCCCAGTTCCCTCGAACAAAATCCCATACCAAAGATCTTCCAATAGTATTTCGAGATATATAAACTATAGTGCTTACTGCATCCTGCTTACGAATCTCCTCAGGCATTAATGTATATTTGAGATATCTAGAAAACAAAAACACATAAAATAGCTGTATTCTCTTTCAAACATATATAGGCTTGTGCTCTGTTTTGCTAAACAAAAATCAGAAGTATCCACTAATCGTTACCCATAAAAAATCATTATATCATAATACATATTGGAAGCCGAAGAATTGTAACAATGTTGATATTTAATGGTCTCATTGAGGTTTGAAATGATTTTTTCTTACTACATGTATGAAGTGCATTTATTTAAATCTTATAAAAGTTTGAAAGCTTTCAAAACCAGAAATTTGATTGACTGATTGACTGTGGGTAATTATCTCTACTATCCACACTGTTGGCTTTATCGTAGCGGTCAGTTGTTATTGGTGGAGGAAGCCGGAATGCCTCAATAGAACCACCGACCTTTGGTAGAAATACTGACAAACATAGTCTATTAAGATTGAGGTGGAACGCACAAGGCACGTGCGGGGTTCTGACAGGTTTGTGGTTCAGCAGATACACTACTTAAACCTCTCTATCAACGATACCCCAACAGATTAGAACTGCCCTACATAGCACAGATATTGATAAAAGTCTTTACATGTTTAAATAATTCCATGTTTACCATTTGTGGATAGAAAACTATGTGTGGGTCGATGCCTTACAAAAGTCAATGAATGTATCAAAAATTAATCACAAGTGTAAAATGTAAGCTTTATATTCATATCAAATACAAACCTGCTCAAAACCCAAACGTCCCTGCTGCAAGACAACGATAACAACAAAACAGCCTTTTCAGTGGCAACATTCGATGTTTTATATTTCTTATATGCAAAGTCCCATTCTTCTACACCTCCATATCGTATTGCTGTACAGTACACAGTCGATCGTAGATTAACATCAATTCTGAAAAACAATATTTACAGATTTCACAATTTATTCACAATGTATGCATGACTGAAGATGAATATTTCAAACTCTATTAGGTTTCTTGCCAGTATGTCTCTGTAAAATTAAAAAAAAACTTACTATTAAAAATTCATTTTAAAAATGAATTAGCAAACTGTTACGTACTGCATGTAACAAAATAAAACGTTCGACTATATCAACAAACGAAACGAATGGAAAACAATTGTCATATTAATGAGTTGGTCAAGGAATTAACATGCTATTGGCTGGTCGTTTGAAAATAATAGTTATCTTGGTGTAATCAGGGGTGTTCACAATTTTACACCAGTGTAAAATTCCAAACACCCATGAATACACCAAGATAATGAATGTATTTCTTGTGAAGCATTCCTTTACTCATTTAATTACCGGGATGTATAATTGAAAAACATGAAAAATGCGTATAAAGAACTTCTATTACAACATCTGTTCAAAACTGATGTTGCTGCGATTTTCAAATAATACATCATTTATTTTTTTTTTGTCATTTCTTAAATTTTGCATTTTCATTTATTGTTTTGGTTTTTTTTTTTTTGGGGGGGGGGGGGGGGGGGGTAAACAAAATGTTATCTTTTGATGAACAGGGGTGGGTTTTTTTTCTCACCCGGGCAATTAACCAATCAGATTTCAAGATTCTTGCTTCATAAGAAATAATTGTGTTTATTGGGTTTCAGACTAGCCGAGGTGTAACCAAAATTTCGGTTTCTTCATTTTTGATATATCTTTTCATAAGCCACATAGGATCAACACTAATGTGATATTTCTAAAAAAAATTATAAAACTCACTGATACGACGGGAGGGAACATGAATATCAAATATTATTTATATTGTAATACACATTTCAAGTATAGCTAAATTTAGTTTTCTGATGTGTTCTAAGAATAAAGATAGACTATCCAATAAACACTTGTTATGATCAATTCATTGTATCACTACTATGGTGGGGGACCTTTGGTGAGGAACGTTTGCTTCCTTACAATTCTACTTCTTCCAAGAAATGAAATAGCACAAGTCGATTGAAAAGGAAAGTTCAATGATATTTACAAAAGTGTGCTTGGCAAAATGACATACCTAACTTATACTTCTACTTTCTTAACCAACAACCATAACCTGGTGTATTATTCAGTTTAATTGTTTATCATACTCACGGGTTTGTTCCATCGGTAGTTTCCATTAGTTCCCTAAATAGCTTAGTTGCATTTCCAATACATTCTGCATTACCATATTTGCATGCTAGGGAAACAACGATTCTTCTAACATATCTAAAATGTATCAAAACTGACACTCATGTCTGTGCTTGTATTGTTACCCAAAGGTGTTGTGAGAGAAAATGATTCTTTGTTTATTATTTGTTTCGTTATTCCTCGGATTTGTACTTAGCATGAGCATCACTGAGCAGAACTGGTTACTCTTCCGAAACACCTGAGTTTGGCCCTGGTATTTTGTGGAGTTAGTGTTCCTCAGTCTTTAGGTTTTGTATGTAGTGTTTTGGGGACTTGTTCGTCTTTTCGAATTCTGTTTTTGCCATGTCATTGTCAGTTTTTCTACGACTGAAGAGTTTTGAATGTCCCCTTGAATTCTTCAGCATCTTTTTTTCCCGTTTGCAGTAGCTCCTTAACATTATCTGCCAGTTAAACAGTTTTAACTCATTTTATTATAATTGTTCATTAGATTGTTACTTTAACCATCTATTTCCTATCTTTTTTTCTATTTTTGTGATTTGGATGGTGAAGTTTGTTTTTGATTTTTAAATATGGCATAATCGGCATTGATTTTTTCTCCACTTTAAAACTTTTATCACTCTAATTAATTGCGCTAACGCATTCAGAGATACATATTATTCACATTTAATGATTTTGAAATGTATCATCTTCTTTGCAGACAATTCAACCATTGAGTTGGTAGATTGGTTACTTAAATCCTATAGCAGCGTGTGGAAAGTTGGTCATAAAAAAGGGATAAAATGACTCCTCTGAACATGATTCAACAATTCATTTTTATTTGAAAAATGCTTGAATAAACTCAGAGATGTAATTGTTAAGTTCTGATTACGATAGTCTTCCTAAAATTTGCAAGTATAAATGTTCAATTGATTTTTTAAAATACTTTAAAGTTTAGCGCATTAGTTTTTTCCTATGTTTCACGTTGTCATCAGTTCAGGTAAAAATAACATCATTGTTATGTTGTTAAATTCTTATTTGCCTCTAAAATCGGATATTACATTGTATGATTTGTGTTTGGCTTTTTCCGCAAACAATTTCACGGTATCACTATGAATCACATTGTTTCCTAAACCGCTGATAAAAATTTGTTCAAATGTTTACTATGTTTAAAAAAAATCACAAAATTAGAAGTACTTACGTTTCTAAATGACCCGATCCCGAGTTGTCCATTCCAAATTTATTGAAAGGAATTGTGAACGTTGCTTTCATGAATTTCTGTTCATATATGAAAGAATAAAAGCATTAAAGAACAATTAACAAGTACTTATATCAGATAATAGATGAATTGACGTAGAAAGAGTCTTCATTTAACATCACCTCATTTTATTACATGTTATCGAAACAGTAATTGAAAAGCGTCAAATGTTTGACATCAATCAATCAAAAGTAACACAAAAATATCCAAAATAAGTAAGGACAGCTAAGAATTACTCTCAATTTACTGTTTTGTTTTGAACTGACATTGTCAAGTAGCAGTGTAAATGACATTTGTTTATAACGGTGTAGATATAAATTCATCCTTACAGAAAAGGCTCCAAACAATGCTGTTCTTTCAAGCATGTCTTCAACATAAAGTAGCTCGCCTGAAGCTGCTGAATACGGTAAAAAGTTGTCTTCTGTCGACAGGTATTCCACTGTTTGAAGGGCTATGCTCATCTTGAGGTCACCGGATCTATAAATGAAAAAAACAAATCTAAATAGGCTGACTGACTCAAAGAAGAAAATAGATAATAAGTTTATTCAAATTAATAACATTTTTGTACGAAAATTTACAAAAATGCACTTATTTTGAAATTCACAAGAGCTTTAAGTTATATCGTACATTGTAATCTATACTGTATTTTTTTTCTTTTTAATTCATTCGAAGAAGGAATAACAAATTCCTCTTTCCTTCTTTAATTTTGATTGGAAAGTATTAATATATATAATATAGCAATAGTCGTTAACAAAATAACGAAACTATATCGATTTAATTCCAAATTATCAACAATTTCTTTGATATAAAAACAACTGTAACGTAAGATAAATCAGGCGGCTGTTTCATTTTTATGATCGCAAAGGTTTATAGTTTTGGTTTTCCAAACTCTGATTCAAGATATAATGAAGACACTTCCGGAAACACGTACTTGTAATTACCAAGCGGTAATTTGTGAACTGTGTCCAATTTTGTTATAAGAAAGGAACATACTGCAGTATCGTTTTCATTTTCTTTACATATATATAGAAAGACTACATCATAGTGTACCAGCACTTACTTAAGTTGTATACCTGTAATAGGTGTAAAAGGGTGATATCATGACCAATGGAACCGTTTGACACAATATGTCAGTGCGCATGACACTAATCAGGTCTGCTTGAGAAGCAGGAAATCCAATTAATCTACACAAACGTGGCAAACTAGTCTGGTAGGACTGGCAACGAGGTACAGTACAAATCAACATTTATTGATAAATCTAGATCTAGAAATTACTAAAAAAAAAATAAAGTTCTACCGCCCTTATGCACAGTTGACCATAGATGAATGTAAATATCCATTCTAGATTCCTTTTTGGTCGTATAGCTTCAAAAAGAAGAACCGGGTATAAATGTAACAAATGTTATGTTTATATTTTTATACAACTTACTTTGCTAAGTTCCAAGCGTCATTTATTATTTGAGCTCTATTTATTGGATGAATTTTCTGGAAAAGAAAAACAATCATAAATATTTATTTCCAGTAATGTCCAATTGATTCAATTTACAAAAGTACGACTTAACTAACAATAACGGAAAAATAAATAACCTGCAAACTGGCGATGGTCATTAAATGTTTCTTTTTTATAAAAGGAGACGCTTACCATTTCTACATGTACTGTCTCGCTCCTTTATGAGTTCATGCGATTTCCTATATATGTGTTTTTATATTGCTTTTTCTTCGTTATCGATTAATGAAATTTAAAAATCGGTTAACCTTTGCTGTATTTATTTATATGCTTATGTAGACGAAACACGGGTCTGGTATACCAAATTAAAACCATGGTATATTTAATGAGCTTTCACATGCTTAAACCATAAAAAAACCTCTTTGAAGCGCCTGCAGTGATAAAATAATGCCAAACCAATTTTTACAAAAATAAGTGATTTTGCTCCGGTAAAAACTGGTACAAGAAAACATAAATGATAAAATATTATATTCGGCCTTCTTAAAGTTCAAATTCGAGCACCACTGATGAGTCTGATGTAGACGAAACGCACGTCTGAGATACATAATTATAAGCCTGTTATCTTTCATGCGTTTATACTTGTTTAGTTTGTTCTAAAACGGTGAACTCTTGATTTTTTTAACGTTTAAGAATAAGCCTAGTATTGTAATGAATTTTAATAGGTGAACACGCAATTGTTTGAGTAATGTGTATAGATACCGTAGGATCAGTCTTCAGTTGTTGAATCAATTTCTGCCAGTTGCTTTCTGGATAATTCACCCTATAGTAACCATACTGCATAACATTCCCGATGTACCAGCTATCCATCGATTCACCGGGAAATGCATTCTTAATTTCAACTGAAGAATATTGGGATATTTTGTCAAAAATAGGTTAAAATATTGTACAAACTTCGATAAAACATATGAAGATTTACCACCGCGAATCTTAAAGATTTAAAAACTTCATCAGATATAGATTCATTTTAAGTAGATTCTGCCTTTTTTCTAAATGTGCATATGAAGGATCAACATAGTATCTTTAGTGTTGTTGTTTAAATGTAAGTGTTTAAAATTCAAAATTCATCTTAAGTATCTGTTTTTTTCCCCAATTTGATGTTATGTAGTGGTTAGTTATTATTAGCATAATTAAATGCGCTGACGAAAATAAAGTGTTGCTTATATATTTGACAACCTTTTTTTGATGTAGTAGATCATCAGCGAAACCTGATAATGAAAACATATTTATAACTTTGTCTAACTTATTTTGATGATTCAAACACTCATTTTGAAAAGAGGTTAGGCTAACTTTATCTGAAATATATTTCCACCAGAATCATTTCAAGAAGTCTAATAAGTATAATAAAAAACCGAACTACAAGACAAATTAAAAAAAATGAAGTCCATAAACACTGCCATATTCCTGACTTGGTACAGAAAAATTAATCATTACAAAAATTCACAGTAACTAAGCTTCATATGCTTTCTTAAAGATTCCAACAATATTTTTGCTTATTTCTGGAGATGACCGACTTATTAGTGTATTTTTGGCAGATTCGGGTAATGTGTTTTAGTATTTATCCAAATAGGTATATAGAAGACATCTTTACGTCTTTGGTTTAAAAAACTATGTATTGTTTTCATAAACTAATTGAATCTTTGTGGTTACGGTGTCCTTTAGTTTAAATATTGTATGAAAACGAAACAAATTTGCATCATTGTATCAAAAACTATGCTCAACAGCAAAATGTGGCAATACACAACATTTTGATAGATGTGTGTACATTTGATGGGAAAACTCATCTAAGTGTATTTTAGGCTCTTGTGTTTAAATTTTTTAGAGAATCCAACAATTTTGAGATCTTGAACCTTTGAAGGGAATAACTACACAAGAAATAGTTTGACCGTTTTCCTTTAAAAGAATTAGCGCTCTAAACCTAATCAGTCAAACGTTGGAAAAACACTTTACAGCACATACTACACAAACCTTAAAAACAAAACTGGTAATGAAAGAATTGTGTGTCAAAAGGTTAATTCTTCAATTTAACAAAAACGTTTATCTATTCTAATCAATGTCAAAGTTCGTTAATAGAAGAAATTAAGCACTGGGTATTTGTATACCAGACAAGTTTAACTTACTATTTTAGTATCAACAAACAAAAACATCGACCAAGTAGTAGTAATAAAAACTTACATCAATTTATCTGGTGCACCATATTTACATTTACAAAACGCTATTTCGACTGTCATCTTTGGAAATCATTCATTTCTAAACTTCCCTATTACTTTCATTATTTAAAAAGAATCATGACATTAACTTTTAATGTTTAATTCTTTTTTATATACAGCAATTTTAGAAAAGCAATGCTTCTTATTCTTTTTATGTAACTTGTCATTTATTCATTTATTCTTCCATATCAATACCACCAATTTGAGCTAGCGATAAAGGTCAGAAATGTGCATTCCACGCTGCAAACGAGATACGTATCGTTTCGGTCATATACAGTACAATCTACAGGAAAATTCAAGATTCAAAATCTTATAACATAGTTACCGACGGCTCCATCTCTTCCCATCCAGCTTATATCATTGTCTGTTTGGTTGAAATTTGAAATTGATTGACTGGTGTATGTAACTGGTATTTCCCATTTATATCTGAAAAGACGTTGCAATAATAAAGTACGAATAGGGAATTAAAATGAGGTACATTTCACGGTATATTCTAAATAAACAACATGCCAATAAACTAGTATTTACTGATTTAGGAAAATTATTACAAACGCTACAAGTGAATTCCTATCAAAGTCAGACTTGGTTATAGGCAAACTTCAATCTTGTTTGAATCAATATAGGCAACCGTAGTTAACCGATGTTCAAATCTCATAAAATCGATATAAGAACTTCAAAAGGATCACGACCGAGTGAAATCAAACCTTTCTTATAAGGTCAGTTTACTGTTGTCCAGAGAATAAACTTTATTTGCAGGCTAGACTAACTATATGACTCATGAAAATTAATACGAATACCACTACAAATCTTTCTCTCCTAAAACACATGTCTTGCATATGAGAGATATTATGCATATGTTTTATAAGATATAGTTCATCAACAGGTAAAATCTTAACAAAGATACCAGGCTTATAATCTGGTTATACATGTTTAATGACGTTCACTCCTCTTGTTTTTGAATTTTTGTCAGATATCCGGAATCCTCTGGTTTTTTCCATGTAGTACTAATAGATATTTTGCCCGCTAACGACTATTTTTCTTTTCGTAATTTTATTACATATAGTCTGAAAAGCCACATTTGGAAATCTTATAAAGTTCTTGTTATTTTTTCATAGTTTTTGAAAGAAGAAAGGTGCCAATGTTAAATGTATGACAAATCAAGAGAGAATCATTTCCCGCCAAATTTTCAAAGGGTTAAATCTCGAAAACAAGCACATGGACCCTTCATTTATTCTGCTTTTTTAGTTCTTTTCTTCATTTACTTTCAATTTATAACAGTCTTTCAAAAAGCTTGTTATTTTGAAACAGAGTAGCGAACATCCTTAATGTAGTGTATACATAAAAAACTTACCCAAACGGTGAAGTATATGTTCCTGGGTCTGTAGCATTTTGATCGAGTAGATATCTTGACTGGCTTAGTCTTATATTTGGTCCTGTTCTCTCCATGAAAACAGTTGGGAAATTCATTTGTAGGGTCCAAGTATCCATGATGTGTTTGACATCTTGAACACTTATCGGTTTACCATCTTCTTTGCTTTGCTGAAATATTTATTTTTAGAACAGTATAAACCTCTTCCGGGTAACACCCAGGTTATATTTGTGCATATGCAAAACAGTTTAGATTCTTGATGACATAAAACAGGAAAAGGACTAGGGTAAATATCATCCGATGTTTTCGGAACCCAAATGGTTGTATCGAAATGTTGTTATCAAGATTTCCACAATCCGGATGTACAGTCCATGTTTAGGTTGGTATCCATATATATGTACAGGATATATAAATACGCGGCATTTCGGTCGGATATGAGACGTGTATTTTAATGTAGGTATAGTGTCATATAAAAGAACCTTTGCAAAAACTCTTTGGTTGGTCCGTAGGTGACCATTTTCAAGTCGAAAATTCTGCTACTATTCAACACACGCTCATGTTTAAGTGGCAGTCGAATTAAGTAATCCCTGTAGACCAACATTACAAAGTTCATCGTATTAATTGTTAGTTTCATCTCTTCCTGAATATGCATGAAACGTTAAGTAAGCAACATTCAATAAAATTTTAAGGATACCAAAATGCTTTGAAGTAGTTTATTTTCGCTGAGTTGACATTTTGTGATTTCAAAGGCAGCATCTGTTCTTGAGGTTTGATTTTCGCGGGTTATTTTTCCTTGACATTAAAAATGATTTCCATCCCCTGTGCGCATTTCATTGTTGTAGAAATTCATTAAAATCTTTATGTCATTAGTTTTAAAAAGGATCTAAAAAGTATTCGAAAAAGATTTTCGAGTCAATGCAAGTTTTGAATGAAGGAAAATATAACGTATACTTGTACATGTTGTATTATTTCATTTTAAACTTGATGCAATGCCTAGGAAACGAAATAAATGCTTAAAAAAGGATGAACATAAAACATTGAACAGAAAATCAGAACGACATCGTTCATCTTATAAACTTAAAAAAATACATTTACAAACTTGCCTATTATCTTCAAAATTAAAAATGTTAAATATCCATACCTCTGACAATGCATTCCAGAGATCGTCATGAAACGCAGCACCGTATGCTTGTTGTTTGAGATATCTCTGCAATATTTTAAAATGTAATATTAAATGTTTAATTGGCTATCAATGTAATTTCATAATTTGAACTGTAATAAATATTCAACACACTATAAAAGTTAACCTCGTTATGATCAGAAACATATAATACCATTACGGTATGTTATGGTATACGATAACTACATATAAAAATTCAAATCATATATATATATAGACCTGTACCGTTATATGCTATGAGAAAGGTATACGCACACCTCTATATACAAAAAAGTATCTTTTATCTTATATATATATTCCTATTCGGGTTTGCCGTGTAAAGATCTGATTAACAAAATCTGACTTTGACAATTCGCCGTTTCAGAATAAAATGTGTACTTGGTGAGATTTTCAGAACCGTCCACCAAGACGTTTTGGTGAGTTAGAAACGTCATAAACAATGAAATTACAACCAATGTGTGAGGCTATTTTCGTTTTTGGGTACGATCAATAAAATTACCCATGGTCCTTTAGATTCTGGGAATTACTAATAGGTATGTTGGAATTGTTTACTGTTGATTCATTCATAGAGGAGAATACTATAAGTTATATGGTTCGCTACTGACCCCCTACGGGGTGAGGCCGGAGGCCGAATCTCCTATGGATTTTATTCACCCTCTATGGTCCGTAGGGGGTCAGTAGTTAATCGTATAACGAATTTATCGCACGTGATACTTTTTCTGCAGCGTTTTGTAGAAAAATAAACAATGAAATACAAAAACATCAATAGATGACGTCACCATTAACAGTAGACGTGACGTCATGAACCCACTATGAAATTTTCTAGCCCTCTACGGATCCATAGGGAGTCACCACGTGACGGCGTTAAACCAATCACAACGTGATAATTTACCCGCGGTGCGATAAGTAGCCTTCTGATGTGACTTCGTTTTTCTTTAAACTTGTTTTGAAGATCATAATGAGATAACGTTTCCTTCGACTATTTTTCACTGGCATGATTTATTACCAGTGGTCCAACCATTTAATCCCAAGCCCGGGGCGACGAGTGGATACACATTGTTTAAACCCTGTCCATATATATATATATATTGTTTGTCCACTAAAGTGGGTTTTTTAAGACTCGTGAAGATTCGAAGTATGACACATTAAATAGATACCTGTCTATTTTTGAGGAATGTTTTTACCTGTCTCGGTTATTTGTGTAGATGAGTTGATGTCGCATTGAAGCTAACCTTATATTTCTTTTTTTCAAACAAACTTACTTGAAGTCCCTTTTTGAATGTTTCTTCTCCCAGAAAGAACCTCATCATTCTTATAATAGTAGCTCCCTGAAATGCATTTTTTATAATTACAAAAGTGTTATCAACGTGTTTCCTCAACTACATTGTTTTATTACAATCGGTAAAACATAAACATTTTTTTTTCAAATAACTTCGATTTTCACAGTATCTGTTTATAATTGCATAACTTAGGTAAATTCAGCCCAGTAGCCAGTACATGTACTTCGATACTGGTATGAAAATACGGATACTGTGTTATTTGAAATTTGCTGTTACAAAATGTTGGAAATTCTTTTAAATTAAGGAATATATCTCCTTCATTCAAAGCTCTTAATCTTGTCCAGCTTTGTCTATACTTTCCTCCTCTTTGGTTTATAAGCTTTTCATTTTTCTTAATAAGTTTTTGATTTTCAACTATTTTGGCGTCGATTATCACTGAAGAGACATTTATTGTCGAAATGCGCATCTGGTGCAATTAACTTGGTATCGTTAATGGTATTGGTTATTTTTTTTTATCATATAGCTTCTCAAGCGCATGTTTAATGCCTTTCCATCTCCTTGGCTGTCAAACCATTGTGTTTGAGCGTTCCTGGTCAAGGTTATTCCACAAAAAGCGCTACGTAAGCATCAACTTTATAAAGTATTATTTTCTTTTAGAGTATTATTTATATGAAAACAATACTCAATAAATACTGTAGATTCTTAGATAAATCTGCATAGAATAAGAGTAAAATGAAGTCGTATATAATTTAATGGATTTGTTGGTGATGTGTGCATGGAAGGAGAGGCTCACCCTGTCAACACATCCGGTCTCGTGACATCTGGAGTTAATGTAAGTCCATTATTAGATTGTCTCATGGTATGTGCAGTTTGAATCAAATTACGAATTTTGGAGATCGATAAACTTCTCTACCTCTATTTTTTATTTGTTGAGATTTCAATTTCCACTTAGTTTAAAGTATATGCTAAACCCCGAGATCACAGTACTGTCATAAAATTTTCTTGACGATAGGAACTATAGCTGAAAATTGTTTGAAAGCTAAAAATGTGTGGTTTTTTTGAAGCTATATCTTTCTGTTTAGAATATAAAGTTTAATTGAAACAACCCCTTTCCGTTTGAAATATGAAGTCAATTGAAACAACCCCTTTCTGTCTGAAATATGAAGTCAATTGAAACAACCCTCTGTATGAAATATGAAATCAAATGGAAACTATAGCTTTCATTATGAAATATGAAATTTAGTTGACACCATATATGTCTATATGATAGATGAATTTTAACTGAAACCATCTTGGAATATAAAGTAAAAAATTGAGACATTACCCATTGAAATGTTACGTTAAATTGAACATATTTTTTTATGAAATATGCAGTTTAATTGAAGTCATACTTTAACGTATGAAATATGCAGTTTAATTGAAGTCATACTTTTACGTATGAAATATATAGTCTAATCGAAACGGTACCTTTCCGTATGAAATTCGATCAAAAATTTCATTGATTTGACTTGGATGAGAAACCGGTACATAAACAGGATGTGAGGTAACCAGACCATCAAAGTTGAAAACGTCCTGTAAATCTTCAACCACAATTTGTTCGAACTAAAGAAAGTAAAACAATAAACAATTACCGTTCATAACAAAATATACGTATTTTCCTCATAAAATAATACAACTGATATATATTTAAAGCATAAAAAAACTCCTTTTTTTGTAAACTTGCGTTATTAGTTTTTTTACATTTATTTCAAATTTCTTATTTTCTTACATTTTTCAGAATAATCTTTAAAAATTATGAGGCAAAAAGTGAAGACAAACTTATTGGTGTGTTATTATTACATAACATACCATCAGCCAATCTGGATGGACGTGATCGACTCCCATGTATTCAACAAAGCTGGCAAATCCTTCATTCAACCATAAATCATCCCACCAAGATGGTGTGACTAAGTTTCCAAACCACTGGAAAAGAAGATGTAGTATAAACAAAGTGAAATACCGATAAAAGCACAACTTATACCAGTCAAGTTGCATGTAAAATTAATTTGTTCTAGATAAATGATTTACAATTTCTCTCACCATTTTCTCTTATTTTTTTGCCATTACTTCACATAGGATAAGAAGTCCACAAGTGTCGATTGTAAAATATTAAAATACTCATTTCAACTATGCTCTAGACACGATTTTTTTAATGACCTTCCTGGGCATCATGGGTACGAAACCAACTGTTTTAAAAGTCAAAAGTATAAAACGTTTGAAAAACATTACTCAGTAGGGACTAAATCAAACAACAAAATATGTCTTAGGTCCATATGTATGAGAGAGTTGCTGCCTTAGTTTAAGTATAATTTACAAACCGAACGTGCAATGTACTATTGAAACAGACTAGTTATAGAACAGCAGCTACTAGGTGGATGGTTTCCTTTCATAATGAAACTGTATTATTTGTAATGATAACTGTATGTTTTATCAATGATAACAGAAGGAGTTAAAAGGTATCTTCAAAGAAATAGGTAGGGACCAGTTTCCTTTAAATTACGGGGCCAAAGACTGAATTTTTTTAAAGTCTACTTGAATTCAAATAATTTATAGTCTAGATAAGACATTAAAGATTTCAAAACAGTTTTTACACAAAGCCATAAAATCAAAATATTATTCAACACAGTATCGTTAATTTTACATGTTCTAAGATTGTTCATGTAAGATAATCCTAATTCACCATGAATCGGGTTTTATCTGAAAGAAACAACATAGCTAAACGTCCAGTGGAATTTTAGTTTTGGATCATAAATTTCTTCTTATTATGATTTCGGTAATTACTCAAAATTTACCAAAATCAAACATGAACTCAGTTTCAAACATCTTTATGTAATGACGTTATGATAGTACATTCAGCAATACACCATGCAGTAATATTTATACTGTTGTTATACCATCAAGGCTGTCATACTGTGAATTTTAGTTAAAAAATGCAAATTTTCTCTTATAACCCTGGTTGACTTAATTTAAGGGGAAATCAGATATACATCTTTGTCATTTTGCACTTAGGACTTATAAGTAATTATGTAGAACTCCCAAATAAAGATGGATTAACCAGAATATTTAAGTCTCCAAATCCATTAAAGTGCAAACTTAGTACAGTTAATTGAAATAACTGCAAAATTAATGTTAATGTAATATGAACACATGCATAACGGATGCTTTTTATGAGAAACGAAAATTATGTTGAGTAATATCCGTGTCATTACTGACCATGTTATCACCTAAACGACCCGGATGCATGTACCAATTTGCACCTTTTTCCTGAGGCTTCTGACAAAAAAAGCATATTTCTTCGTTTTAATGTCTTTACAATGTTTACGGGCATCTGGCTTCATATATTTTTTTCTTGTAATCCGGTTCTGTTCAGTTTGATAAATGCTGATTACCCACACAATGATGAAATTTGTCTTGTGTTATTTCCTGTTCTATCCATTCGGAACAATGCTCTCGGTATTTTCCTTTCAAACTCGTGATAATGTTTCCAATATGTTCAACATAGTAGGATGTTTTCTGCTGATCAAAATTATTATGTGCGTCTACCATACTGTTACAAAGTTTTAGTCCTGGTATCTATGCTGAGTGTATTTATAACATTATATCTATACTGAGTGTATTTATAACATTTTATCTATGCTGAGTGTATTTATAACATTTTCTTAAATGATATCTTATTAATAGTATAAAACATTAAAGTCATGGGAAAATAAAAAATAAATCTGTGTAATTTTTGGGTGATATTACATCCGAAAAAAAATCTAATGTTTGACAAGAAAAAGGATTGTTCTAGAATTTTTCATCCGTAGCCTCTAAAAAACCAAGTTGATTTACAGAATATTTATAAAAAGTTTAAAACTTGAGCAGCGAACATCCTACTTAAAACTTTGGAAACATGAAACCCTTCAATAAATGCAATTTCCTCAAGTGTTATACAGTTATCCAACTTATTTTTGAGTTACATTTTTTCGCGTTCAGTCCTTTTAGAAGTAATCGGCGACTTTCTCACTGTGTTGTCGTATTTTGACATATTCGCGAAAAATTACATTCGGGTGTTATTTTCGCAAAATTCACAAAAAATATTTATGTCTGCAAAATTTAATAGGTAACTTATTCTCACTTGATGTGCCAATTCATGTGAGACGACTACAGCTACTCTCTGTTTGTTGGTCTCTGCTGATTCCATTGGATCATACAACATGGCCGTCTCCCTGTAGGTTATTAGTCCCCAATTTTCCATAGCACCGGCAGCAAAATCTGGCACAGCTATCATGTCTGTAATTAATTACATATTTTTGAACAAACAACTTTCATTGTATATACAAAACAATGTAATACAATTAGCTGATTTTGTGAAATAGTATCAGTGGGCTCCATTTGCAAGCAATAGAAACAACCGGGTGATGCTAGTCTCGTCATAGTTTGTGCATAATTCAAGTGAAACACTCGAGTCATCATTAAATATAAACACCCCTTTAAAAATATCTTTGGAAGTTTAAAATAAGATAACAGATTATTTTTGCAATTTTCGCCACTTGTACAGAACGCAAAACTCATTGATTTCTATGTTCCGTAACAGATGTTTACCAGTTCGAATTCGCGTGAAAATATGTTATAATTACGGCATTACGGACCATGCAAAACTGGGGAGAACGAGTGGCTCATAAAAATTACCTGTCAATAGTATTATTAAACACCGTGTATTATGTAAAAAGTTAATTACGTAATTGCAAAATATAATAGCAACAAAACTATGAAACAACCGGTGATACATTTAGATGTCGAGAAAATTGTGTTATAATGCAAATGCGTGTCTAGGGTATCAATTAGAACTATAACTGTCCTCTTTTAAAATTATTTATGTAAAACGAAGAAGCATTTGTTTAAGATATATATCAGCTCTCATACCTGATTTTGGTAGAGGAAAAGGAATATCAAAGTATTCTTCAAAATAGGTAAGGACCTTGACGCCAACGTCTAAGGAGTATGGAGTTTGTCCAACCGCCTCTGGGCGTGCCCAGGCTCTATACTAAAATATATTAAATGACATTAGATCTTGTAGATTATCCTATGCACAAAATCTTTACAAACAAAGTCTTTTTTCAAATGCATTGTTTTTGTTTTGTATATGCTAGTCGAAGATAAATTTCTTTATATTAACAACAATCAAGAGCATTTATCATATTTATAGTTCCTATATGATTTGATTATCAACAACTCTGAATGCGATTAATCCGTTAGAATGTCTTTTCTTGGTTTTACATTTCAACAAATCATGTTCCCGGAACTTCTTTTGTAACCTATGTAATGTAAAATTCCTTGCAACATCCAGTCTGTTTTTTTTTTATATTTTTCTGCTTTGTTTCGATCTGATGAGTTTATCCTTTTCAACTGATTTTTTTGTTTGTTCTTATGTTGTGCCGTCACACCACTGTCCCAGGTTAGGAGAGGATTTGCGCCTTTAAACATGCCTAACCCAGTCACATTCTTTAGGTGCCTGTCCAAAGTCAGGAGCCTTGAGTTCAGTGGTTGTCGTGGCGTCATAATTGTTTTTCGTGAATTGTTTTGTTTTAAATAAGGTCGTCAGTTTTCTCAATCGAATTGTTTTATATTTTTCACTTTTATAGCCAACTATACAGTATGGAATTCTCTCATTGTTGAAGGCTTTGCCTATTTTTTTTAAATCCACTGCAATTGAACTTTGGATGATAGTTGTCTCATTGGCAATCATACTATATCTCCTTATGCTTATATTGTGTCAATTCCAATGTGATGTATACATGTGCAATACACATCAAGTGTTTGCAATTATAAAAAAAGAATTTAAAAGATGAAAGATGTTTGTATTGAGAATTTCCAGGACAAAAAAAAACATTTTTTTTAGAGGTTATTGATGTGTAAACTGGATCGATGCACTCCCAAACTGAATAAAAATTATTGATGTTAACTTTGCTGGATATACATCAGATGCACTCACAAACTGAATAAAAGTCCTACAACAGTTGTCATTTCTGTTTTACTCTTAGTGCATAAAAGTTGCATGCCATGCTATTAATAAGCAAGATTGAACACAGGTGTGCCAACAATAAAATGTTCGACCACTTCTAAGGTTCAGGCATTCTTTTTAATTCCTCAAAAAGGTGTTCTTTGAGTATCTTTTAATCTATTTTTTTTAAATAATTGTGTCACGAATGTATACAAGTCATTAATTCAATATGGCAGCAATAATACATGTTTAACCTCGCCTCTGGCCTTTGTTGGTCTTGTGTGTTTTGTTTTGTTTTTTTTTTATTTTGGTTCATTTGTATGTTTCGGAGTTTAGTGTGACGTCCATTTTTATTGAACTGGTACACATTTTTGTTTAAGGGCCAGCTGAAGCCAGCCTCCGGGTGAGGAATTTTCTCGCTGTGTTGAAGACCCATTGGTGGCCTTGGGCTGTTTTCGTATCTTTGACACATACCCCATTTCCATTCTCAATTTTATACTATAGATAAGCATAAATGAATACAACAATACAATTTTCGACCACTTCTAAGGTTCAGCTGTTCTTTTTAATTCCTCAAAAAAGGTGTTCTTTGCATATCTTTCAATCTATTTTTTGTTTTATTAATTGTGTCACGAATGTATACAAGTCATCAATTCAATATGGCGGCATTAAGACATGTCAGTTGTGGATTTGACAGGAAATTTAAGCCAATGAAATATGTTTTACATAGAGATTACATTAGAATAACAAATTACTTACCTCTACGTTATTTTTAGTGATGTTTACTGTGTATTTGAAATCACAGATAATAAAAGCCAATAAGTAAGTTGACATCTTTGGTGTGACTTCATAGTAATCGGCAATCCATCCATTTCCCCTACAAAAATAAGTTATAGTTTTATATGCTGAAAATTCAGAAATTATTGCGTGCATTTATTATTGCAATTTTTTAAAAAATTAACAAAAATGCGAGTTTAATTATTGCGATTTTAGGAAAAGCTACAAACAGATATATGTATTTGATATCAGAATGCGAATTCTTATTATTGCGATACTCAAGTAGTCGCATTATGCGCATTAATAAAAACCTCGAAATAATTTCAGAATTTACAGTGTAGCTCCAAATCTCTTCGATGTTCACAGAAAAGAAGTAATCGAATGTACATATATATGTACAAGTTGTAGATGATAATTGATATTGTACAACATACTGTATACAGTAAGTAACCAAAAGTAAGCATAGACTAGTATATCGTATTCCACTAGTGGAAACAATACTTCGAATTAGTGACGTCATCAGTGACAAACACAGTTTTGTTTTAAACAATTCGCAAGCTTGTGAAATATAAAAATCTAGCCTTTCAAATATTCACCAATATTCACTCAATATCTCTATATCACACATTGGTTTAAAGAAATTTAGCCTTATGTATGATAATTTTGCTATTTAAATCCCCTGGTTTCATTAGCAATTAGCAACACAGGGTTGTTGTAACGCTAAAGGGACATTGTTCACAACTATAAGTGCAATAAAATATTTGAAGTTAGTTAAAAAAATGAAGAAATTTAGCCGCATTCCGAAAGTTTTTCATGTCGAGAGTTCTTTGATAGGGGATTGCTTTACAAGAAAGCTATAGGTCCAAGTCTCTTCATTGTAACGGTTATATAATATCTTCAAAAGTTGTGCGGACACATGGGTTGACCGTTATAGAATGACCACATACATGTATATGTCGACATAATCCCGTTGTTTTCCTCGTGGATGGCTTATGATAGGATAGTTAATTGATATCAGCGACAGGGCGGGTTATTGAAATGGGTTGAGAACTAATTGCCCTTCTGAAGCACCTAAATTCGCCCATTTATTTGGTGGGGTATCTGTCACTTTCTGTGTAATATTGTGTGGAATGATATTTTTGAAATAACATTTTTTACCACAGCGTTGTCTGCCCTTCTCGACCTTATTTCATTTTTATTGACCCTTTGAAATCTATCTTTTGGAATAATACATTTAACGATAATGGGGTAAAATAAATTCAGTTACTAGGCCGTATATATGCACTGTTTCTTCTTCAATAACAAAATCATTATTTTGACTATTTCCTATTAATATTTACAAATTAGATAATACATTTAAATGTGTCGAAGTTACGATATTTGGACGGAGGAGATCTGAATAAAAACAGATGGTTTTGTGTCCACACTTCGTTAAAGAGAATCTGACGGAGCTGTGTTCTTTTTTCTGCTAATAATTAGAAAGTCAGCCAATGTAAATTTAGATTGGTTCCCTGTCCTTTATCTGTATGTTGCAAGGGAGAGTACCAGCCTAATGTAAATTCTGCCTCTTGCATTACAACAAAATCCGACGAATCCGAATATGTCTTTTCGACACAAAAAGTAACTTTTTAAACATAACGTTGTCAGATTCTCGTAAACGAAGCTATGATCTTTATTAATATGAGTTTTTGGTGTAGATTATATTTGGGGACAAACAGTCTACTAGCAGCATACCCGACACAGATATATTGTCACTATATTTAAAATTATCCAATAAAAGAAGTTTACGGCTGGTATACAATGTAATATCGACTGTTTCCCGTTAGCCCTTACATATCATACATTTATATTTCAAGTGACCTTGGAATAAAAAATATACATGTATTACGAGGACAAGGATTGTGCAAGTACATTTCATTTGTAGTATAAATTAAAAGATATCAAATCAAATGCTTAGTATAAGATAATTACATTACTGCCATTAAAAGTTTCATACGATTCTTTAATTTTGATTGGCTGAGGCATACCAGAAGTTAAATTTTATTTTCGTATACAATGCAACTGTATCTTGACTGCACGTGCCATCCACGAAAACATTAAAACAATGCATAGAAAAACAAATAAAAGCCTTAATTTGACTCGTTATTTCATGGTTTGCAGCATAGAATGTAATTAAAAGAATAAAATGCTTCTTTTTGTAATTCAATAGGGTTGTAAAGCGTTGAACGTACGCACATGTTTAAGTACAAAATGTACTTCGGTGAACGCTTTTGCATACAATAAGATTACTAAAAGAAGCATTTTGATATACCTGTCTGTTTATATGTTAAGCTATAATGTTTTTTTTTAGACACCAAAAGTTATCTAATGAATTAAACATTTTACTCCCTTTATTTGAATAGCAATGTTGATAAATTACACTCAAGAAAACAAACAGCACAGCAAAGTATATAAGGAAAGAAATGAAGCACAATTTAATAAGAGCTGATTATATAAATCTAATAAGATAGCGCCACCAAATACAAGTTTTCAAATTCCAAAGAATAATGTTCAGTTCTCAATTCAAAGAAATTACTTCATATTGGTTTTTATCAAGGGAAACAACAGAAAGAAAAAATAACAATAAAGAAATCTTGTGCTTTGTATTATATGGGCAAGTTTATAAAATGTAAAGGGAATAAATTGTGATCACTACATCATTATTAAGGGCAAAAACTTTCTCAGATGACCTCTCAACCTCTCAACCTCTCAACCACAATGATAAACTAATGTATTTGTGGTAATATTTTCAAAATTTTCATTGAAAGACAGACATTGGTTTATATTCAACGTTGTTATTGCTTCACAACGTCCTAACCAATGGAAATCCAACCAATAGCGTAAAGTTATTTTCATTCTTGGGGTACAAGCAATAAAATTGCCCATAATTCTTTAAATTCAGAAACTTCTATTTTGTATTGTTCTTGCTTCGATTTTCCATTTTGAAGCACAAGAATGCTTATTAGAAGCAAAAGTCATGAGAGCATTTTTAAAAACTAATACTTGTATATTCTGATTATGTTACAAAGCACCTATCTTTTTACCTTCCTGTACTATTAGTAAGAGCTGTATTTGAAATCGAGGTCATATTAAGCTGTCGAACTAATGTAACCTTGAAACGAGCCTTCACTGCAGGTTCGTCAAAGCATGGAAAAACCTTTCGAGAGTATGTTGGTGCAAGAAATGAGGTAGCCAGAAAACTGAAATATTGAAAAGAAATATATAGTATTAGGTGTTTCTCACCTGGTCATATTGCTGGTTATTGGGGTGTTTGACAATGAAACCATGTGTTGTTTTCTGACAAGTGTAACTTTAAATTGCGCTTTGACGGCCGGCTCATCAAAACATGGGAATGTTTTTCTTGCGTCAGTAGGCTGCATCTGTGATGTGGCAATGTAACTAATAATATAAAACAAAACAATTTGATTAAATTGAATTCAAAAATTATTTATACTTGTGCAAAAAATACGAAATTGTCATTTGGTTTCTGGTGGATAATTGTCTCATTGGCAATCATGATGTGTTTAACTACCTTGACTGCTTATACACGCCTTGCACGGTATGTGTCACTGTCACAGTAAGGGGGGCTGGAGGCGGCCATTTTGGTTATATCAATAATTGTTGGTTTTTTTCCCTCTTGTATTCAAGTTGGTTATATGCACTGAATAATGGCCTTGGCAATCATACCACATCTTTACATTTTATGTACGATATTTTGTGTATTTTTAATTAATATTGTTTACAATTACCATTATCATTTCCAAAATGAGAAAAAAAAAACCTAAAAAGGAGCTTTACAATATAATATGTCGACTTTGTTCCCATAATTCGATACCTAGCCAAACATTAACGACTAAAACATTGGGCATATTTATAAGTGACAATATACTTTTTGTAAGTCCATTGATCAATTATATTAAAAAGGGGGAGGGTTGAGAGCGCAACTAAAGTTTAGCCTGGTTACATGTCCTTGACAAGAACCTCGTCGTACGTCGTCTTTGTATGAAAATGTTTGGTTTTTTTTTATTACGGAAGTCGGTGTTGATAGAAGATCGTTGGTTGATTGTTTGTGTTTCACTCCACTTTCGGCACTCTCTTGATTTTATTGTGGCGGCCGAAGACGGAGAACCCGGAGAAAACCACCGACCATCGGTAGGTAACCTGGTTATCCTTCTAAGTCACGACAAAACAAAACAAAACAAACGTCGAAGAAATACAGAAAACACCATCATGGGAAAACAATCGAAAAGTAACAAGACACTAAAGAGAAATCAGAAGACTGCGCAACACGAAAACACACCGCAAACCAGGGTGGTCTCAAGAAGTTTGGAAAGGTGAGCAGCTCCTGTTTAACTAGTGACGAATAGATATTTTACGCCGATAATAGATAAAACGTCTGTCAGTCATTCATATGAATAAAAAGAATGTGCATATATGTCAACGAGGTAACAATAATTGATAGTAGGTTACAAATTCATCGTGTAATACAAAAATAAAAACTAAATAAAAAGGTCTACATTGTATTAATATTTAAAAAAAACTTTATAAACTTTTCTGCATATTTGTAATCTTGATGATCTAGAATGTCGGTTTTTCGGGATTTTTTTTAAAGCGTAATAAAGAAAATGTTGTATAAGAGATACTTAAGTGATATTTAAACTAATAATTCGAAAACAAACTGACAATGTCATGACGAAAACGAAACATCTGCTTTGTATCTGATGTGAGTCGAAATGTTAAACTTTTACTTACATTGTATCGTTCCCACGTTTATAAGAACTCAAATAAAGTCCTGCTAGATCATCGGTCAAAGGTCCACGGAACTCAATATACACGGAGTAGTTTGATCCCGCCATAAACTGTGTATTAGATTTCAGTATCAAAAACTGATTAACTTTGTCAAATTCTACAGAATGAGATATTTGACTTCCACTTCCCATTTGCATAACCTGAATAGATTGTTCAGAAATATTTAGCTTGTTGCTGTGTAGTACAATTTCATTCGTTGATTTAATGCACTGCATCTCAATTTTAACATTTCCTGTGAAATAAAAGTCTTTCGCATCTCCTTCGTACATGTAGGGTTGAAGTTCAACATCGTATAATGTTGGATACAAGTTAAGTGGTAGCCGAACATTTCGAGTGCTTGCTGGTGAGGTAGTGGTCAGTTGTGCTACTGTTGTTGTTGGTACCAGTGGACTTGATGGACTAAGTGAAGTCGGTCCAGCACAGAGGCTACCTGAAATATAAAATACAAATGATTGTTTGTTTGTGATTACTGCCACTTTTAATTATATCGTGGTGGTCAAATTTATTGGGAGAGGAATCCGAAGTTCCAGGAGAGAACCAACGAATTTCGGCAGGAAAACTGACCATCCTAGTCAATAGAGATTGAAATCGTACGCACCTCTGTGTTTTCAGGCTAGTGATACAATAGATGAACTACTTAGACCATTCGGCCACCGAGGACCCTCAAATAAATATGACTAATAACAAACATCGTATTACCAAAGTACTATATACTAAAAAAACGTTGATAATTCAGCTGGACATGGTCAACTGATACTTTTAACATGGATTTTAATTTAACAAAAGTAATTTTATGATCGGTTAAACAAATTTCGTGTTTCCATTTTATTATATTTCTTTTACGGTTACTAAAGTGGTTGGTCTTTGGAATATCAGCAAACGTTATTCTATAAATACGATATCATACATGTAAGATCATTAACATCCGACCACAACAAGCATAGCAAAAGAGAAAAAGAGTGGTTTTATTTGTTGTGTGTTGCTTGATCGCAATAGTTCTCACTGGCACATTACTTGTTTATACTACAGCTAAAACTGTTTAATGATTGAGTAAGCAAGCATAAACGAAAACGAGGCCGACGATTCACTTTGTCCAATGTGCATATGTTCCGGACCATCTGAGTATTTGGACCATACGCGTATGATCCGGTTAATTAATACGACGAACGTTGAACAGCAACTTTAACTGTTGATTGCATAAGGTGTCATTAATTACGAGTTTCAACAAATGAAGTTTTGACTTATTCAATCTTATGGTAATTATTGTTATATGATTAATGAAATCAAGTATATTTTACTCAAAAATTATAGATTTTCCTAACGAAATGCAATATGTCGACTTTAGAAAATAACTTCGAGGAATATCTAAATGAAATGTTAAACAAGAGGGCTAGCTACTGTTTTACTCGCATGCATTTCTGGGATTGGACACTCTTTTTTTTCTTTATTTTTGGCGTTCAAATTTGTTTTAACTAAACTACGCTCAAGCCAGTGCTAGGGGCCGTCTTAAAGTTGCAGTGAGGTGGGAGTTTTTGGCTCCGTGTTGAAGGCCTCACTGTGACTTTGAGATAAAGAACAGCAATAAAAGAGCCGTGCCTTTGCTCTTTGTGTTTATTTTTGCTGTGCTTGTACTGATTTTGTGTCATGGATGGATACCCCATATCCTTTGTTTTCGTAATAAATTTCTAAATTCTTAAAATTATTACAAGCTTACAATAACAGTAGATTTAACGTGTTGTCCCTCTATTCTTATGTGGAAAATAAGAAGAGTGGGACAGCACGAACTGTTATTGCAATATCGAAAGAATAGGAACAAGAAATCACCAATTAAGTGAAAACAGGTCATATTAGAAGATTTTCTTTTATAAAAACTAATCTAAACATCAAGGAAAAACGAAAAAAAGGTCCATGACTCAAACGCCCGTGGTTTCACTTACGAACGAAAACGTTGCCAGTATAAAGTCGCTTTGAATTGACTTCAGCGATGGCAAGATAACAGATACACCCAGATTCAGACTTCAGTTACTACTGCAGTAGATTTTGGTTCGCAGACTGACGACCTATGTGTTCTTTCTAAGGAATTTAGAATGTTTCGAATAAACTCATATATAATGATTTAAATACTCATATGGTCCGACCCGTTAATGACCAAGCGAGTATATTTTTTTTTATACTCATACACTACATTCCCGGTTGAGAATAATAGGTTTATTAATGAAATGCACATTTGTACCCTTAGGGGTTGAAGGCATATATAAACAATACAATACAAATATATACACAATGCAAAACTTAAGTTATAACATATTAAACATCATATATAAAGTGGTAAACAGTAATATTTATGCAGGTGTTGTGTCCACTCCCCTAAGTGCAAATGACATTTTAATGAACGGAACAGTAAGCTGCATAATTTCAAATGAAGATAAAAGTAATTGTAATCTATCTGTTTCAGACAATTTAAAGAATTCTGGACATATATTATTTATATCTTTCGCAAGCTGATTACGTAAAGATTTATAAAATTAATACAATTTTATAGTATGTCTATTTGTAAAACAAGATGACAAACAACAATCATGTCACTTTAAAATATATGACACTATTGATTGAGCTTCTGTGTAAATGCTTTGTGATGTTAAAAACACTTCTTTTTTGTCATAACAATTCAACAATATATTATGTTTAAAAAATTATCAGTTAAAGTAGACTATTTATATAAAGGTGAACAATGGTCGCTCAGTACAAAGCCTTTCAAGTTATAAATGTACCCTTTCTACGAAGTTGTATATTACATTGAGTATTTGTAAATCACTTGCTTCTACTTCGATCTGTGCTGATTAATGTTTCATTTTACAAGTCGTGCACTTTTACGTCCAACTCGGCCGGTATTAATAATTCTTGGGAATAAACCATCTAGGTGTTAGTAGCTTTACAGTAACACAATTTATCAAAATGCACTTGTTTATAACATATAGGGCTTAATTTCTATGTTTTTGTTTTTCTCAAAGAGTCAGTTAGGAAAAAATAATTAAATACATTTATAATTTGAATACCAAAGAGTTAATATTATAAACTTGTAAAAAAATGTAAGCCTTATTTGAATTTATTCTTCTATCCTGTTACATACAACTGTTGAGGTTAATTTTGATTTCAAATTACATGTCAAATTGTGTATTAGAAAACAATCGAAATAAAAGTCTAATTTCCATTGGAAAGTATAATATGATTTTTTTTTTATCGTGAAGCTGCAAAATAATTTATAATTTCTGTGTTCAGCATAAGTTATACACATAAGAAGGTCAAAGGCAATTAAATTACAAATCCCAATTACCAACAACATCATCGTGACATTTACATAAAAAATAAAATAAAATATTGAATACGCAATACAATAAATGACCTCAAGCTCCCTGTCCTCAACTTTATAGACTCTTTAATAACAGAGCCTAAATATTTCACTTGGTGTCTAGTAGTTGGGTTCAGAAAATATTTAGTTCTATTGTAAGAACAATCTCTGTAATGGATTTTTTAATCATTAAAAAAGACATGTCTTAAATCATTATTTATTTTAAATTACAATATATAATGATGATAATGATCCCCGTGACTTGATAAGATGAGAGATGTGTTACATGCAAAAATTGTGTTGTTGGAATGACGTAAACACTTCTTCTTGTTATACTTATAAAAGATAACTACATTGTATGTTTCATACTCTGATCGATGAACCTCTTGATGAAATTCTAGGATAACTACTCGCACTGATACATTGTACTTACATTAACAATATTTTTTCAATGAGCATATGACTAATACATAAAATGAACAACAGAAAATATCAACGATGTTGGACATTCCAACAGACCACTCTTCCCCCAATACGACCGGAAAGAAAAATAGATGGACAAACAAACTAAGACAACAACAACGTACAACACATGGTCCAGATGGCCTGACTTGCTATAGGTATAACATATATACATGAGGTGAAACCAATCTTACGTGTGCGCTAAACACCCTCCCCCTCCCTTTTCTCTGTCTAGGCCCATGTTATCATAAGTGAGAGTCTGGATGGGAAAAGAAAGGGGTGGGGGCTTAATTTCTGTATTCTGTTAATTTTTAAAGTATTTTTCTTTATCTTTAAAAATAACTCTGTAAATTTCTCATGAACATGATTTTACTATTATTTTTTTTTTATAATGATATTATTTCTTTATTATTATTTTTGTATTACCTCATTGTTTCCCACAGTTATTCGTTTTACTTTTGCACCCGATTATTCTCCATATTTTATATATTTTTTTTCATTTTTTTTATTTTCTATTGCCGTTATTCTCTATTCTGTAAACCCCATCCAGACCCTAAAAAGTACTAGGTGATGTTTAACGACCTTAACTACCAATGAGTGTCTCGCACGGTCGGTCCTCATAAGTAGCTATATTTGTAATAAACATGTATTCATTTTTTCTCATGCTTATTAAGCTTTCATTGTCTTATCTATATCATTCATAAATTACAATTTATCATGATTGAACATTAAACTAGATTAACCTCGTCAAATATGCATGTACATGACTGTACTTGTTCCGATTACGTTTGTGGTTGTTGTACACGTATGACATATTTTATTGGTTTTATTCATTAACTTGAGGATTTTCGTTGATGGCAGATCTTAGATAGTTTCCGTTTAATTCGTTCACAATTAGCCTTGTTTACAAAAAAAATTGAGTCGTGGCATTATTACCATTGAGACAACAATCCACCAAAGACAAACTGACAAAGATTTAAACCGTTCCAGGTCACCGAACGGCTTGCAACAATAAATAACTTCCATACGGTATACTTAGCTAATATGACCTCGAAACATCAAACTGTATCTCATTTTAAAAGCAAAAGCTACGGCCTCATTTAAGCTCATAATCTTAGGCGAAAAGTAATTATGACAGACAGCAACAAACGACAACGAGACGATTTAGAGATGGACACGTTGAACAGAAACATGATTAATGTTGATGGCTGTATGTTGTCGGCAAAAAAACTAAAGTTAATGCCTGTAGGCTTAAACGTTATTGTTATACAGTGTGCACTGACATAAGGGGACGAACATGTGATATAGAGGGGAAAGGGGGCAGGGTGATCTTTGCCGCGTGATAATTGTTTTGCACTTTTGTACACGATTGATTCCTGCATTTGGTGTAGCAGAATATTCATTTTCATCCTTTCTTATGCAAGTTTATTTATTTTCAGCTCTTACCAGGGCAGGTTATTAATTTTTGAAATTCTCCTACCCACCCGAAAATCAAAATCGTCCCCTTATCTCCTATTTTGCTTTGTTGGCATATCTCTATACTAAAGAACAATTTCGAGGAATCCGCATAAATCATTGGTTTCATTTTATAAAAAGAGGAGCGACATAAAGCCAAGAGA